GAAAAAAAGGGGTAAAAACGGAGGGGGTTGGGCCGGGGCCTTCCCCCTTTCCCGAAAGGGTTGGGAGGAAGCCAGGGGTCCAGCCCCAAAAACAAAAAAAAAAAAAAAAAAACCCCTCAAAAACCTTTTTTCATCCCGGGTGGCCAAAAACAACAGCACCAAAACCCCCGCCCCCCCCCCTCCCCAGGAGGACAGTTCCCCGGCCCCTCCCCAATTTTTTCAGCCGAAATCCGGGATCCCCGGGGGGGGGGGGGGGGGGGAGTCTCACGGACAAAGCACACAGCAGTAAGAACCAAATCATGAGGGCAGTGATCAACACTCGGCTAAACCAAGCACCTCCTGAGCCAAGCCATTGACACGTCCGTTTCGCCTGCGATATCGCGGGTCGGCCGTTCGTTCTCTCTGGCTTGTCCCCTCCTGTACACTACTACACGGTTGCGAGTAAGTGCATCCTGCTCTCTTTTTGTGGCAACCCAAAACAACCAAGAGAGAGAGAAAGAGAGAGAGAAAGAGAGAGAGAAAGAGAGAGAGAGGGCTTTGGAGGCAGGCCCCAAGCGTACAACAAATGAACCCCACAGACTACTAGATGCCGCTATGCTCACTGTACTACTAGATGCCGCTATGCTCACTGTACTACTAGATGCCGCTATGCTCGCTGTACTACTAGATGCCGCTATGCTCACTGTAGCACTTGCCTGTTTCTCACTCTCTCACGCTCACTCTCACTCTCACTCTTTTTGTGTTTCTCGGTCTCACGATTCCGGGGAATCAATGAGTGAGACAGCAGCAGTAGCTCCCTGTTGTAACCATCAAATTTGAAAGGTTACAAAGCAGGGGTGAAGTGAAATTCCCTCCCTTTGTGCCCCACCCCGCGCTTAGCCGATGCCCCCCCGTCACCCCCCCGGCTCGAGCCAGCTCAAAGACTTCTCTCCCACCCAAAACATTGTGGAGTCTCTTGTCGCTTGTGATCGATGGCTGATCTACAAAAAAAATCGAAGGGCGAAGGACGACGAAAAGGAAAGAGGCGCCGAAAAAAAAACACCCCTGTGCATACGACGAAATAAAACATCTACCGCCGCTTTATCACACACATCGAGAAGCGACAGACACTCGGATCTACTCGGGTGAAATACCCAACCGAATCCAGACCGAATTATTGTCTAACTTGACCAACTTATGTAATCAAACCCAACCTGACCGACCGTTCTTGAACAAGCTACTTGCCGGCCCAAGCGCGATCCACACAGCACAGTCACGCCCCGCTTTGTTCGCTCGCAACAACAAAATCAGTCGCAGGACAGGCCCAAAGCCAAGCCCCTCCCGCCCCACCCAAAAAAAAAAAGGCAAAAAATGCGCTACCACGAAAAACAAAGCACGCAAAAAACGTCCCCCGAGGCAGTTCCTGTCTTTGCCTGCCACCACCACCGCCACCTCGAAACATCGTGGCCGCCGTTTGTCATCGTTCTCCTCCTGCTGCTGGTGCGGTGGCGGTGCTCCCATCAACACACTCGACCCCACCGCTCCGAACAAAAATGAGACAGGGGGGGGGGGGGGGGTTCGGCCGGCCTATCGTCAAAAAAAAAAAGGGCCGACCTCCTTCCGTGAGTGGACAAAATAACATAAACAGCAGTTTGCTGGAAATGGCCCCCCAAACCTACCCTCCAACCACTCCATCTGCCCCTCTCGCGACAACCCGCCGCAAAATGCAAGCCCCGCGCGCGCATCGCACACCAACATCCGACCCCCCTCTTCCCACCACCCAATCAAACCACTGCATCACTCCTGGATGCTCGGGGGGGGTACGTCATCTTCCGCTGGCGGTGGTGCGTCGCCGGACGGGACCCCCGCGGGGGCGGGGGGGACTTCGGCGGCGCTGCCATCGGGCGCGCCCGTCCCCGGCTTTTCCGAGCGATCCATCCCCAAGGACTCCGCTACGTTCAACAACGCTTGTGCCGCGATCACCTGGCAGGTACAGGGTGGGGAGAGGGGGGGGGGCGGGGGGGGTGGATGGGGTGCGCTCGTGTAAACGCATGCCTGTAGTTGGTAGAGAGCACTGCGACCTCGTATGCCGGGCGAGTTTTCGCAAGCCCAGGCGGACGGAGGGTGGGTCAATGAGATCGTGCCAGATAGATGACAGAGGAAGAAAAAGGATAGAGGCGGGAGAGAGGCGGTGGGAGAGAGAGAGAGAACCCTCCGGAAATAGGCGGGGGGAAAGAAAGATCTTCCCGGAAATATCGTGCCATCGACGCCAAAACAAGCCCTGAACACAGCACGGCGTGGTCGGACGGTGTTCATTACGCCTGCGGTACCGAAACAATTGGCGAAATTTGGGCTGAGAACAAGCACAGGTCGGTATCGACAACCCTTCGCGTCAGAAATTGCCCCCGTAGGTCTCGCCCCAGTATTCACCCTCCCTTTCCTACCTCGGGTACATTTATTTGGGCGAGGGGGGGAGGGGGAGGTACGCACGGAGCCCGCTTGGCGATCAAATTCACACAACCATTTCTCGTGAGGCGCAAAACAATAAACCACCATGTTGGGGGTTACCTCCGGACTAAACCTTTGGATCCGTTTCGAAATTTGGCTCGAGAGAATGGTTGACGTCTGGAAGGATAGCCAGGCTCAACTCCTGTATCACCCAGCCCAACCTCCCTAACGTGTTGTGTTGTGTTCATACTCTTGCTTGCTTGTTCCCCCGCAACAGGCACGGCATCAACTTCGCGCCATCCCTAAGGTGCGCCTCAACGTGTGTTTGGAGGCGTGCTTGAAGGCAACCAAATCAGCCAGCAAAAAAGCCAGCCCCCCCCAACAACAACAACAATCACACCACCACCGACACGACACACTCACGGAGCTAATGGCGGATTTGAACTTGCGACGGGCGTTGAAGAGCCGCAGCTTGTCCATGTTGGCGCCCAGGTCGCGCTTCTCTAGCTCCGCCGCATCTCCCACTACCCAGGGGTGCTCTAAGGCCTGCTCAGCTGTAATTCGCTTATCCTGAAAAGAGAAAACAAAAAAATAGTGGAAAATTTCCACAACCAGCAAGACACGCGAGAAAGAGGAGGTGGCCGGAAGGGGAGAGTCGGAGTCAGCTGCAAAACACAAACACATACCGGGGTACAGCATGGTCGAAAGGAAAAAAATCGTACCACAAAAAAGATGGAGTTTCAATGTACTTCAAGGAAAGATCCATGGATCGATCCAGGTCCAGCCGTCCCTCCCCCCCGCCCCCTATCGGCCTGGTACCAGATCCTGCGCCAGCCACATCGTCGTTGTGTGTGATAGTGCCGTGTGCTGCTAGTGAGTCATCACGCAAGCTTTTCAGGGGAGCGGGGACACAGAAAGAGAGACAGCGAGAGAGAGTCATTCACAACCCCAACAGGTCGTGCTCATTTCCCGTTTAATCGTGGCAGCGTCCATTTGCGCTGGCTAAGATGTCGTTGACGCCGCTGCCAATCCTCATACGGTACTCGCCGGGCTCGGAGAGGGGGCCATCTCGCAACCTGTGCTCATCAATCGTCACAATCGGGCCGTCATGCCATTAACGACGCGTGACCACCCCACGACCATACACGCTCAACATCGAAAAATCGTATATACCACCACAACATTTGGTCATAAAAAGCCATTCCGATGCTAACGGCCCCTTCATTCGCGAAAAAAACGAAGCTGTTTGTAACGTGTGATCTAGGACTTGCGTATCTCCCGTACCAACACAATCGCCAACGAACGTCTGTCGTGGTTGACGGTCGTGCTCGGCCATCGACATCGTTACAATCCTACCAGGTGTCCTGGTTACTTGCTTCACCTTGTCCAACGTGAGCATCTTCTTGATGAGGTCTTTCGCCTCGTCCGACACGGTGCTCCAATATTGAGGGTGGAACGATACTTTCCCTGTGCGTGCAGGCGAGAGGGAGACACAAGACAGAGAGAGACAAGAGACAGAGACAGAGACAGGGAGAGGCATACGACAGACAGACAGATACAGACAGAGAAAGAGAGACGGAGGGAGGCGCAAGCTCGAAGGTCGTTTGACGTGGCACATATGCGGGAAGCAATGCCATCCTACCGCAGTCCGCAACCACACACCAGGGACAACGATAACGCAACACCCCAATCCCAAAAAAAACAACAAAAAACGAAAAGAAAAAATGGAACATGGCATCCCGTAGGGCCGCGCGGCCTAGCTGCAATCCAAGCCAGGCTACAAGTCCAAACACCAGCAGTCAAGGCGGCCTGTCCCCTCTGTTCCAACACAACCACGCTAGCCAGGACACCAAAAAACACAACGGAACGAGGACAAGAACAAGAAGAAAATAAATAAAGACTCAGCAACAGGCGCGTACATCGCGCTTTGGTGGGTGCGCGCACAGAGCAGAGGAGCATACAGACGTTAAGTTACGTCGACACCCCCTCCTCCTCCTCACCCTTCTTGATCTTCTGGTACAGCTTGGCCTGGTTGTCGTCGTGGAACGGAGGGTATCCCCCTAGCAGGATGTACGTGATCACCCCGATGCTCCAGATGTCCACGGGCTTGCCGTAGAGCTCTCCTTTCAAAATCTCGGGCGCCACGTACCTACAAATGCGGGTACAATTCAGGTCGTTTGCAGCGAACCACACGGGTCGTAAAGAAGGCCACGCCGTGTAAACTTGCGACACTCTACACACGCAACGCAGCTGAAAAATTGAGTCTATCGGCCGGTCCGAAAAATCGCATTCGAACAACGCAACTTCGTCGTGAACAGACTTCTTGCGGGATAGGAGAGAAGAATTTTTCAGCGGAAGATGGCCGCAATCACAAGCAGAGCCGCTGCGAATCTCGGAAGCCAATCCGGTGTCCCCGAGACGGCGCGTCGCCATCAACGCGAGTGCCGTAGGCGCTACTTCAGGTGACTTTTTTAGACTGGAGTGATTTTCAAAGCTCGAATACCCCAGCAGAACGAATGCATAGCGGTGCCGAAAAAAAAGCGACGTTGGATACGTGTCATTTGATATTGTTGACACACACGCCTTCTTCGTCGTGTGGAGTTTTTTCGAGTTTCGAAAAGCGGTCCAGGCGGGGGTGGTGCCGTAAGGTACCTTGGGTCAGCAAAACACGGCACGCACAATAACTCCCACAACAACAACAAGCGCTGCTCTCCTTCCTGCCACCACTCCGGCGGCCACGAACAGCCTACAAGAAAAAAAAACACTCACCCGGGGGTACCGCACTGCGTCGACAGGCCCGTTTCCCCCACGGGCCGCGCGAAACCGAAGTCCGCGAGCTTGATCACCGCGTCGTCGTCGTCGCTAACCAGCAACAAGTTCTCCGGCTTGAGATCCCTGTGCGCAATGTCTCTGTCGTGGCAGTACTGGATGGCCTTGAACAGCACCTTCAGCACGTCCCTGTACAGTGGTGGCAGAGCACGTGCATCGCGAGCCGTCAGTTAGTTCGTGTTGTTGTTGTCGTGCGCGTTGAAAACGAATCGTCGTCGCCGGCAGAGGGCGGGCGCCGGGCACAGACGGGGAGCGCCGTAAGAGAGGCTCAAGCATTCCCCGCCAATAACAAAAAATTCGTACAATATCTAGTTTGTCCTGTGTGTCATCCGGGGCAACCTCAAGCAGTATATTACAAGCGCGGTGACCGAAAGAATGTGAACATCAGGCTCTTCTTCCCTCTGCAACAAGCGCGTGCACACTCCAAAAGGGGTGATCCAGACGCTCATTAACCAACCCCCCCCCCCCCCCCCCCCGGGGCCCCCCTTTTCCCCTTCCCCCTTTCCCGTGGCCCCCCCGGGAAAAAGGCCAGGGAAAAATTTTTTGGGTTTGATAACCCCCCCCCCCCTTCCCTTTCCCCCTTAAAACCCCCCCTTGGGGGGAAAGGATTTTTTTGGCCCCCCCCCCTTTCCCCCCCCGGGTTTTTTTCCCCCCCTCCG